TCAACTGACCTGAAAATAGGGAGCGTATCCTGGATTATCTAGGTGGGCTCAGTAATCACAAGGGAGGCAGAAGAGGGTCAGAAGGAGATGTGACTGTGGAGGAATGTTCAGAGAGATGCAATGTTACTGGTTTAAAGATGGAGAAAGGGGATCACAGGTCAAAGAATGCAGTTAACCTCTAGAAGCAGGGAAAAGCAAGGGGAAGTTTCTTCCCCAGTCTCCAGAAAGAAACACAAACCTGGCTTTCATACTGATTTCAGCCCATGAGACCCAGGTCAGACTTCTCTAGAACTGTAATGCTTTCATGGCATCAGTAGATCAGTTAACTCCTGTATCCTGGGTTGCTGCTGCTGCTGTCACTTCAGTCGTGTCTGACTCTGTGTGACCCCATAGACGGCAGCCAGGCTTTGCTGTCCCTGGGATTCTTCAGGCAAGAACACTGGAGTGGGTTGCCATTTCCTTCTCCAGTGCATGGAAGTGAAAAGTGAAAGTGAAGTCACTCAGTCATGTCCGACTCTTTGCGACCCCATGGACTGCAGCCTACCAGGTTCCTCCATCCATGGGATTTTCCAGGCAAGAGTACTGGAGTGGGTTGCCATTGCCTTCTCCGGGATCCTGGGTTAGCAGGTCTCAGATTTAGCTGCACATTAATTAGAATCACCTGGAGCTCTTTCTGTTCCCAATACCCAGATCATCTCCAGACCATGGAAGCAGAGTTTCTGGGGGTGAGATCCAGGCATTATTACTTTAAAGTTCCCCAGGTATTTTCAGTGTGCAGCCAGGGCAGAGAACCTCCACCTCAGTCTAACCAAAGCTCTAAAAGAAGCTCTTTTTCTTGCCTCTTGGTAACGGGGATGCTGGAGTCAGAGAGGAAGTGTAAAACTACCGCCTCCACCCCACCCTGCCCCAACTAAGAACACCAAACCTATGCTTTTGGATAGAAATGGGCTCCATTTGAACCCTTGGCCATTTAGTAGCTTAGAAATTGAATCCCATCTCTCCTTACTAGGCAAGAATGCAGATAGCTCTCTTGTTTCATATTTTTCATTTTTGGCTGCTCTGGGTCATTATGGCTGTGCGCAGGCTTTCTCTAGTTGCAGCGTGAGGGCTTCTCATTACAGTGGCTTCTCTTGTGGAGCATGGGCTCTAGGCGCACGGGCTTCAACAGTCGCAGCATGCAGGGTCAGTAGTGGCAGCACACTGGCTTAGTTGCTCTGTGCCACGTGGAATCTTCCTGGACCAAGGATTGGACCCGTGTCTTCCAATCCACGTTGGAAGGTGGGTTCCTAACCACTGGACCTGCAGAGAAGGCCACAGGCAGGTCTCTAATGGTGTTTATTAAACAAGCTGCAAAGACAGAACGAAGGTCTTTTTTTTTTTTTTCCTGGAACCAGTTGAGCAAGTTACTGATCGGATACCCCATCACAGGAGAGTGTGTGTTTCCTACAGACGTTCTCTTGTGTAACTTCAGTATGACTCTCAAAATCAGGATATTACAACTTGTACTTTTTTACCATTTAATCCTCAGACCCTATTCAGGTTTTGCTAAATGTTCCAGGAATGTCTTTTATAGCAAAGAATCCAGTTCGTGATGCCTTTAGTTTTCATGTCCCTTTAACCTCCTCCACACTGGAACATTTCTTCAGCCTTTCCTTGACTCTTAGGACCTTGACACTTTTAAGGGCTTCCTTTGTGGCTCAGCTGGTAAAGAATTCTCCTGCAATGCGGGACACCTGGATTCAATCCCTGGATTGGGAAGATCCCCTGGAGAAGGGGGAAGCTACCCACTCCAGTATTCTGGCCTGGAGAATTTCATGGACTGTATAGGAGATACCCCACAGCCAAGGTCAGGAGCAGCGGTGATGAGGAGATACCCCATGTTCAAGGTAAGAGAAACCCCACTAAGACAGTAGGCACTGAGAGAGGGCATCAGAGGGTAGACAAACTGAAACCACAACCACAGAAAACTAGCCAATCTGATCACATGGACCACAGCCTTGTCTAACTCAATGAAACTAAGCCATGCCGTGTGGGGCCACCCAAGATGGTCAGGTCATGGTGGAGAGGTCTGACAAAATGTGGTCCACTGGAGAAGAGATTGGCAAGCCACTTCAGTATTCTTGCCTTGAGAACCCCATGAACAGTATGAAAAGGCAAAAAGATAGGACACTGAAAGATAACTCCCCAGCTCGGTAGGTGCCCAATATGCTACTGGAGATCAGTGGACAAATAGCTCCAGAAAGAATGAATGGATGGAGCCAAAGCAAAAACAACACCCAGTTGTGGATGAGACTGGTGATAGAAGCAAGGTCCAATGCTGTAAAGAGCCATATTGCACAGGAACCTGGAATGTTAGGTTCATGAATCAAGGCAAATTGGACATGGTCAAACAGGAGATGGCAAGAGTGAACGTCGACATTCTAGGAATCAGCAAACTAAAATGGACTGGAATGGGTGAATTTAATTCAGATGACCATTATATCTACTACTGTGGGCAGGAATCCCTTAGAAGAAATGGAGTAGCCCTCATAGTCAACAAGAGTGTCCAAAATGCAGTACTTGGATGCAGTCTCAAAAATGACAGAATGATCTCTATTTGTTTCCAAGGCAAACCATTCAATATCACGGTAATCCAAGTCTATGCCCTGACCAATAATGCTGAAGAAGCTGAAGTTGAACAGTTCTATGAAGACCTACACAACCTTTTAGAACTAACACCCAAAAAAGATGTCCTTTTCATTATAGGGGACTGGAATGGAAAGTATGAAGTCAAGAAGCACCTGGAGTAACAGGCAAATTTGGCCTTGGAGTACAGAATGAGGCAGGGCAAAGGTTAATAGAGTTTTGCCAAGAGAACGGATTGGTCACAGTAAACACACTCTTACAACAACACAAGAGACAACTCTATACATGGACATCA